TTCGTACAAACATGTCTTGGATATGTCGAGGATGCACATACCCACGTAAATCGGTTTGTAAAATTTCACCTCGAGTTTACGCAATTCCACAGCGATTAAGTTTTCCGAAAAAACGCTTCTGCTGTGAAAATTTGGTTTCGCGATCATCGCCTCTGCGCCGTATCGTCCGTTCCACTTTGTTAATAATTTTACATCGACACGATTGCGTACATTTTCCATCGTTTTACCAAATACCGCATTATTCATTAATTTGTATAAATTTTTTTCGAAATCATTTTTAGCCAACGTTCTGAAATGTGTATTTAATTCTATATAATTTTGAAGCCAGGGAGATTGAGAAAACTGTAAAATTCGATGTATTTTTGTTACACGAAGGTCGTGCCGCGTACACTGCTGCAGGTTGCGGTAGTGTATCACGTAACGCTTCTTATCGTATAACGTTGCAAGTAGCTTGAATTCTCGCTTGCCAGGTGGTTTGTCGCGTGTCGGGCAAAACGGTAGATCAGTGTGCGCATCGTGAAGATGTTGCGGGTACTCGAGATCCACTTCGAGGATATAGCCCGTAGGCGAATCTAGCGCGATGGATGATACGTCAAAATTTGACACATCGTCGATCCATCGAAAATCCGCATAGGGCAACGGTTGACACATCGCCCATCCGTACAAATTATTTACATCAAAGTACATCAAGTACGATGATGGTTTCGATGGATCGTACGACTCCATGTACTTGTTATTAGCGCGAGCGTATCTACCCGAACATTGGCTCAGGCCGCCGCGTATACCACGTTCGATAAACATAACCATGTCGATGTCTGTAAGCAACTCGAACGTGATCTTTGTATGCTTCAACATGGCGTCCCACGTGTATCCGGGGAGAGTATAATAATACGCGGGGTCGAGTCCGTAACTTTCGATACATTTATCTCGAAAGTTTTCGAAAATGTCGGCTAATAACAAGACATCAATTTTGAGGTACAAGTCGCTATATTCGCCTAGCGTCCGAATGGAGAATCGTGTCCAGACGTTCTCGGCGTGCGCGTAATCGCTCTCGGATACAGTTTCACCAGTCAAGGAACTGTAAAACGATTCGCGCGGTGGTAAACACGTATCATGCAACCTGTCGACGGAATCGATGTATTCGTACGGAAATACGCCTTTTCGCGTTAACAAATTGAAATTTTCTGTTGATAAATTTTGAAATTCCGATTTTAAAATTTTGAGTTTATCTTTGTCCAAAAATGATGCCAATTTATCGAGACTCGATGCGAGAAATTTGTATGAATCGATGAAACGTAATTTTATTTGATTTTTTGATTCTTCTTCTTTAAGATCAACACTTTTAGTAAACGAAATATATTTTTCCTTGGTTATCGGTAATAACTCGATTTTCCCTTCGAACGCTGTGGCTATTTCCTCGATGATAAAATGAGAATCGTAACCGGATAAATTGTGAAACACTATCGGAATGCAAAAAGAATCTTTATAATTTAGATTACAATTTGAGTGTGCAGGACCTCTGTACCGCCCGGTCAGATGGCAATGATCGCGAACGCGTGTATCGTCTTGTGTAAACGGCTTTTCGCATATATGACAACGAGTGGCGCTATGGAATTTCTCCCACTCTTCGAACGTTAAATTTACCATGGGGACATTTGTTTTTAAAATATTCTTAACGCGAATTGCTAAATTTTTAAGGTCTTCGGCGAACCATGTTATACAATCGACGCTACGACGCGAATGATACGTTGATAATGAGTCGTCGTACGAACAATGTACATAATAAGCTAAACTAAATACCCGATGGCGTTGATATAATTTTTCTTCTTTCGTCTTGGTCAGGACACATTCCAAGTCGGCGTAGACCACAAATGGAAGCCGCTCCTTCCGATTAGGGTTGCTGAACTCGAGCCACTTGTCCTTGTCGCTCGGCAATCGGACAGCGTAGTCGTTTAGCTTTCCGCAGTCGACCGTATGCGACTGCAACTTGTCGTCCGAACCAAAATAATGAAGGCATCTGTAAAAGAAAAAAATTTTTTTATCATAAGATTTTTTATATAAATTATAATTTTCAAATAATATAAAATAAACTTACCGATCATAGATATATCTTTGACCATTGTGTTTGCTCAATTGCGAGCTCACGAGCCGGGATAAATTTTTGATCCAAGCGAAATGTCCCACGCTGTTGCCGTCTTCAGTGTACAGCAGGTTCACATGTTTGTCCCGTTTCTGCTGCGAAAGACGTATCGGGACAATGTTTTTGTCTTCGATGTCGTACACATTGATTGAAATGTCATTTGCAAGTTCAAATTTCTTAATTTGATTAACAGTCACTGGAAACTCAATGTCCCGGAGATTCAGCACTGTCGTGTAATGCGGGTACGATGATTCCCGTTCCGCATGACTTTCGGCGGGATACAGAGCGGCGACCACTGCCCACGCGAAACACGCATTATCCTTTGATTGCACGTTAACCACCGCTCTCTTCATCATAATCTCCCGCGGTAACTTGATGTGACATCCCGCGCGCATGGGATTGTACTTGTTAATATTTACAGTCAAGTTCAGTATTCGCGACAATGCCCACCCACTATCACGTTCCTAAAACTCTTCCAGAGACGCTAGGATGGACTCGATAACGCGCTGTTCGTACCACTCGCATAAATCAGATGTGCGAAAGAGTTCATAGTTTCTCGTATTCACACTTTTATTCGCGTGTTTATCTCCGGCCACAAATTCACCATTGAATATAGTGTTCACTTTTACACTGTTGTGTTTTTTTAAAGCGCCCTGCACATGTTCCAACACAATGTCTTTGGCGTCATCGAGAAATTGGCGCGGTTCGATGTGATTATAGTTTATCACCGCACCAGTCGCGACTCTCGAACGCCGTATCAATTTCGCGCCACACAAGTCCATTTTGACGCGCACTACATCCGGCACCCGCGTGTACGAAACGTCCACGTACCGAATTTTTCAACCCTTCGAAGCGCGCGATCTGAGCAATCAGCGATTGTCGACATCCGATCGATAATCGCGGGCGTTTGATTCGACTTTGCTCTTCCAGCGACTCGATGTACTCGTCGCATCGTTGCTCCCACACAATGTAGTTTTCCAACGAATCAAGCAAAGCGGATTGTTCTCGCAAAATTTGCTCCTCCATATTGCTAACGTACACTTGCAAAATTTAGCGTTTCTAATGACAGGTCTGATGCACTTTAGCTACTGGTGGGGTGCGTCTCTCTATCATGATTTATATATTGTCTCATGCATTGTTTTATCATCGAACATTCTAGAACGATTTCATCTTACAAAAAATTGCCCGTAGTACCGTGTGCAATTTAACCTTGATAATTTCACTATTTGTCACGTACATTTGAAAAATCTAACGTGATTGCATCAGGGGCAGCCGTACATCGGCGCTCGATTTTACTAAATTCAGCTAAATCTTTGTCTAGGGATGATACACATTTTAACCTTGGTGGTTATTTTTTCACTATTTGTCACGTACATTTGAATAATTTTAATGCGATTGCACCAGGCGCAGTCGTACATAGACGCTTGATTTTAGTAAATTCAGCTAAATCTTTGTCTAGGGATGATACACATTTTAACCTTAGTGGTTATTTTTTCACTATTTGTCACGTACATTTGAATAATTTTAATGCGATTGCATCAGGCGCAGCCGTACATCGGCGCTCGATTTTAGCAAATTCAGCTAAATCTTTGTCTAGGGATGATACACATTTTAACCTTGGTGGTTATTTTTTCACTATTTGTCACGTACATTTGAAAATTTTAACGTGATTGCATCAGGAGCAGCCGTACATCGGTGCTCGATTTTAGCAAATTCAGCTAAATCTTTGTTCCGAAGATGATGATGTCATCGCAGCCGTACATCGGCGCGACCAAATTGGATGAAATTAAAATGTTGCGTCAGCAATAATCCCCTCTACATCGCAATTTGGGATACTATTTGAATTGATATTGATTCTAATACGATTGCAGTATTGCATCAATCGCGCGTGTGAAAGGTTCGCCGCTGAAGAAATATGAATTTCTACGTCTCGATTCGAAACGGTGAAACTCCACCGTGTAAGAAGCAGAAATGCGACACGTAAGTTTAAATCGTTTAAAAAATTTTTTACTTATTGATTTTTAATATTGTTGTCTAATTATTTATATTTTTATAGTATTCAGCCTCGTCGTGCGGCTCGCATACTTGGAAGAAGGTACGCTCTAACCCCGACGTCGTACAAGTATTTGGACATTGGAATAAGCGTTGGAGCTGTATCGTACGTGGAACTGATTCTCGGTGATAATCGAGGCAATCAAATAGTGTTACCCTTTTCAACGTGGAATTTGTTGATGCGGAAGCAAGCAGACGTTGAACAATTTCTACAATCGACTGCTCCCCCATTAAGAATTGGAGATTTAATGATTGAAATGTGTCAATCGAAAATTGTAAAACTCACATTATGCGAAAATTCTTTGTACATGAAACCAGAAACATTATTACATTTATTTAATTTTGAAAATTGTATCGATCATATGCACAATTGGTTATGCGAGAATACGTATCTCGTAAATGAAAAATTTAAACAATTTGAAACTGTATTACAACGTAATAATATTACTACTGTATGCGATGCTGTAAAAACGATACGTGAGAGTGATGTCTTTGACAGCGAATCATTGATCGATTGCGAATTATTAACATGTGCTGTAAATGATATTCTTACGATGCGTGCAATAAATAATTATTTTTATTCCATCTATGAATTTTATTTCTTTCCTTCCATACGAATAAGAATAGTCGACAATTTTTCTCAACACGCTCCTTCAAAGATGTAGAGAAATGCTGAGGTAGATGAGACGCGATGCTCTAGTTGGAATGAGACGCGAGATATTAAAAAGATATATAATGAAGAGGAGTCTGCTGCACTAGAGTATCATTTCTTTCGTTGTTCTTTGCGTTTCATTAGTCTTGTGTGTGTGTTACGTTAGTGCAATGGCTGAAGAAAACGTAATCATTGGTAATGAAGATATGGATGATAATGATGCTGAAGAAAACGTAATCATCGGCAATGAAGATATGGATGAATATGATGTCTGGATGGATCCCGTTGGTGGAAAAAATTGTGATTGAGAGAGAAAGAAGAGCGAAATGGAAGAAATTATATGCGAAAGAAGAATCATCTGATAAGGAACCTGATTTCGATTTTCGAACTAGTGATGTTGATGAATTACTTCAGTATGAGCGGGAACAACTTTCGAAGAAGAATCTGGAAACCTCAGTCGTTCAATTTATAAGAAATCGTGAGCTCGGCTTGAAAAAACCCCGCACAATTTCGTTGAACAGATTTCTCAAAACTCGAAAATATTGGGCGAACTCAGTTAAAAAATGTGATACAAGTTTTTGTTTTGAATGTATACATGCGGAAGATCCTAATCACACTAAAGTAAAATGTTTCGGAAATAGACTTTGTGAACATCTTGAATTATGTAAAGGTATAGACAAATTCGAAGGAGATGTACATGAGAATATGCTACGACATGACTTGGAAACGTTGAAGGTAAAAATATTTTTGCTAATGTGTAATAAATTTAAAACATTTACAATTATTATGTTTAATTTCAGAGTTTACGAGAGTACATGAATGGTCGACGAGAGGACCAGGAGCGGAAGTCCCTCAGCCCGACACATCGCCCCTAGTCTTCCAGGAGTGACCATCCCCTGACCCCCACCTCCGCATCCCCAAATTATTTTTATTATAATATATTTTATATTATTATAATCTTAATTTTAAGTACATACACACACACACACACACACACACACACACAAAATGTATAAAAACACACACACATTTTTAATAAATTTATGTTTTATATTTTGATGTAAAAAAAAAAATCTAATTATTTACGCACCTCTCCATGCGTTCCCATCCTTGCATCTCTCTTGCGTCTCTTTCGCGCTAGTTTTAAGTATCGCTATCTCTATCATACTTGTTAGTTGTAAGTCTCGCGATATTATCGTTTTCTCTTGCACGCGTCGTCTTCGCGCTATCGTTCTCTCTCGCACGCGCTAATTGTAAGTCTCGCGATATTATCGTTCTCTCTCTTGTACATGTCGTCTTGGCGCTATCGTTCTCTCTTTCATATGCGTTCTCTCTCTCACTCGCGTTGTTCTTGCGCTATCGTTCTCTCTCGCACGCGTTGTTATTCTCGATATTATCGTTCTTTCTCTTTCGCTTAGAATACTCGTTGTTCACTTACCTTTGCGTCGTCCTTCTCCCACCTATACGTCGTCCTTGTCCCGCGTTAACGCCATCCTTGTCGCACTCGTAGCACTGTCCTCTTCACACACTTTGCACTGTCCTTTTCCCATACGTTGCGCTGTCCTTCTCACACGCCGTTTTCTTTCCGCTGATCCCCCTTCACCGCGCGGACCCCCTCGCCCATCGGTCGCGCCGCGGATCCCCCTTCACTGCGCGGACCCCCTCGCCCATCGCTCGCGCCGCGGATCCCCCTTCACCTCGCGGCCCCCCTCGTCTATCGCTCGCGCCGCGGATCCCCCTTCACCGCGCGGACCCCCTCGTCCATCGGCCGCGCTGCGGATCCTCCTTCACTGCGCGGACCCCCTCGTCCATCTCTCGCGCCGCGGATCCCCCTTCACCTCGCGGACCCCCTCGTCCATCGCTCGCGCCGTGGATCCCCCTTCACCTCGCGGACCCTCTCGTCCATCGCTCGCGCCGCGGATCCCCCTTCCCCGCGGGTGACGTCACCCACCGCGCGCCGCGGTTCCTCCTTCCCCGCGCGTGACGTCACTCCCCCCCGCACCGCGGTTTCCCTCACCCCCCCTGAGAGGTCCTGGATTAGAACTCTCCTATAACAACTACTGACCTCTAACTCACAAGGAGAACACCAGAATTGGCCCCCTCCGATTTGGCTGAATTTTATATATATTATAGTTCAGCCCTCCAACTAAATCGTGGTAAAAGGATACGATGCGCCTCTCAAGCATTCGCGAGAAAAACGCGTTCAAAGATTTCTATGTTGGTAATGTACCGAACGGTTAGTGTTGTTTGACGAGCAGCGGCGTGGTGTAGTGAGTAAGGCGTCAGACTAGAATGTTGCATGTTGCTGGCTCGAATCTTACTTTTATAATTTTTTTTTATTGTATTATATTGTATATGTTTTATTTTTAATATTTAATTCTAAAAATTAATGTACCAAACAATTTTACAAAATTTAAAATTACAATTTAATTAACACACACACATATTTAATATTAATTGCAATTGCATTGTAAATTTACGTTATTAAACTAAAATTTATTTGTTATGTAATACATATATTTGAAATTATATTCTATTCTTAAAATAATTTTTAATCTTGCCGTCACAAGTTTCGTTTTCCCCTTGGCGACGATACGATACGAATGCTACCTGACAAAACTTGTTTTCTTTGTGTGGTCGTGACACTATAAGGTTTAAACGGTTTTAAGACCATTAGACTCATTCGCATCGAGTAAGAGCTAACGTTTACATCAGAGCATGCAGTGCAGTGTATAATTGATTGTGAACAAAATGCAAGAATCAAGAAAAAAATTTTATATAAATTGCATGATAATTTACAATTAATAATAAATATGTGTGTGTGTTAATTAAATTGTAATTTTAAGAAACGCAACGTATAAAAATATAAATAATATTTTTAAATTTTGTAAAATTGTTTGGTACATTAATTTTTAGAATTAAATATTAAAAATAAAACATATACAATATAATACAATAAAAAAAAATTATAAAAGTAAGATTCGAACCAGCAACATGCAACATTCTAGTCCGACGCCTTACTCACTACACCACGCCGCTGCTCGTCAAACAACACTAACCGTTCGGTACATTACCAACATAGAAATCTTTGAACGCGTTTTTCTCGCGAATGCTTGAGAGGCGCATCGTATCCTTTTACCACGATTTAGTGGGAGGGCTGAACTATAATATATGTATATAAAATTCAGCTAAATCGGAGGGGGCCAATTCTGGTGTTCTCCTTGTCAGTGATGCCAGATTCTGGCCCTTCGGTAGCATGGAAGGGATAATAGAAGGAGACAAAATGATTTTCTCTCGCTCTTTTCTTGCAGAGAAATGTACATTCGCTTGTGTGAGTATGACGTCTGTAAGAGTCAACACAAGCATACCGGGACACCTTTCCTGCCGGTGCGTGTACAGTAAGCGGCAATGATTCTTTCCTAAGCGGGGCAAAGAGAGCGTAAAACTAGCCAATCAGCCACTGCCGCGCTGCCGGCTGATTGGCTAGTTCTACGTTTCTCTTGCCCCGCCTAGGAAAGAATCGTTGTCGCTTATTGTATAATAGATAGGCAGGGATAGCACAACGCATGATATTAATAACTCCTCTAGACAATATTATTGCATAATATTATTCATCTTTTGAAATTTGACTTAACTGGTCAATAAACAAGAAATGGACAAACGAAAAACGAAATCATGATTTGTAATCATGATTTGATTTAATGATGCGACGAGTCTCTTATTTTGAAAATTGAGTAACTTGTACTCATTTTTGAAAAGAATCGAGTCTTGACTCGAGTCGAGTTATTTTGAGTACTAGATAAAAAATATTGATTCGATAAGCTTGATAAAATTAAAAATCTTAGTACTCCAGTACGGAACCATTAAATATCGATTTTAGTAACGAAATTAAAAGTAGAGCGCTCCAATTTTAATAATTGTTTCGCTAAAACTTTTAGAATACTTTATAATTTTAGTCAACTGTTAATAATAGTAAGTGCATAGTTTTCTTATCATGCAACAAAAATTATAAAAGTAACAAATAGAAAAAAATACAAGTTAATTATTAATCTATGATATAAAGCTATCAACTTTAATTAAATAATTTTTAAGTACAAGAAAAAGGGTTATTATATGCTCTTTTGGAGCATATAATAATATAAGTCCCAATCTACAATAGGTAATTTAAGCCCTAAGCCTTAAGAAATTGACCAATCACAGTCGAGTATTCTCTTCATACTTGACTGTGATTGGTCAATCTCTTAAGTTTTGCGCTTTAAAATCTCATTGTAGTCGTCGCTTTATAACTGGTTACTTGATACTTGAAACGCATCATTTGATACTTGGTAGTCGGTTCGTAATTTCAGACTCGAGTTGATTGTGATCGATTCTCGAGTTGATCGAATACTTTTAAGAATTAAGTTTATCGATTTAGTCTATTATTTTTTTCTAGTCTATTATTTATTTTTTTCTAGTTTATTATTATAATTAGTGATGCGACGAGTCTAGTACTAGACTCGTCGCATCACTAATTTTCTTATCCTTAATCTTTAAGCTATTTCTTTAAATAATAAACAAAAAAGGATCCAAAGAACAAAAAGAATTACAAAATTTCTACGTCCATATCATAGTTCTGGGTAATGTTAAAGGAAAATTTTCTGCTTGTACGTTTATATTCATTCATGTTGTCAATACTGCTTTTTATGATAACTCAAGGGAAATCCTTTATGAATACCCTTGCTCTCGGGTGAGAGGTTATGTGGAAATCCCGACCTGACCATTAGCGGTCGGTATCCACTAAAACCTTGAGGTGACCTTCCATGCACAGGAGGGGCAGACGGGGACTCAATGAGCAAATATTTCAGCATCCCGGTCTGGTTAGTCCCCGTGCTTACAACTTAGCGGTCTTGAACTTACTGTCCGGGTGTCCTCCCGGAGAGAGCGGATATTGTCTTCCCCTCCATCCAACTTGTGGGCGAACGGAGCCATGCCATCCGCCCATCTTCCTAGAGGTCTTTTCGCTGACCACAGCGAGCTCCCGCCCGTAGTGACCAGGTTCTGAGGGAAAACTCATGGGACTATATTTTTTTTTCGACACCGCGGTATCCATGAGGAGGGATAAGTATCCCCTCCTTTATCTTCTCCTCTACTGTTGTATTGTCACATGAGGGAACCAATGTGGCTCCTTCTATTCACCCGGCTATGATCTATGACCGTGAGAAGGGAGGGAAACATGAGTTCTGCTCTCCTCTTCTTGTTTTTTATCGTCGGAAGGTGCCTTGCAAAGGAATTTTCCTCGTACTGTTACTGGTTTTCCTCCCACATACATCCCTTTCTTTCTCTGGAGGCCTGCCCCGGCCCTATATTAGAGTCTATCCGCCACTGCTATTTGGTGTAGGGGATTTTAGTATATTCTAAAGAGATCTTGGGGAATGTGGTCATTCTACGGCGTTGTGCTCGTCGGTGTCGTTTTCATACGGAAGACCAGTCGGAAGCCAGCATGTACGCGCATACCTCCACCGGCACTTATTTGGTCACTGAGCGACTTTCAGGCATCCTCCGTAGCAATCGGCATTTCATTCATCGAGATACCAACATCGCTCTGGAGTCGCATATCACTGTGTTAAAAAGCAGCATTAGGTGTGAGGTCTGGATAGCTCAGTAGTCTAGAGCAGTTGCCCGGAAAGCGAAAGATTCGGGTTCGATTCCCGATCCAACCATTTACGCCTCACATATTTTTCTACTCTGCGAATATTGTTTCCTAGCAATTATTCGTTAGACTGAAAAATGTGTAAATGCTCTCTCCACAGAATATGCGTCAATGCCGTTGCCACAGATGGATTCTGTCGCTCGTTGACCAAATGGACGTAAAGACACATCCGACCTTCTCCCACATACATCCCTATCTTTCTCTAGACTACACCACCCTTTTAATCTCATTT